TATGATGCTGCTTGGCCTGCTGTGTTCATCCAGCCCTGCACCTTGTTATCACAGTATAATGTTTGCTTTTTATATTATGGACTTTGTACCCTACTGTCTTAAGAATCACAAGTATTGTATCATATATTCCCAATGTATGTGCTTAAGGGCTTTGCTTCAGTGCATGCAGAAAGGTAATGTCCTGTTAATCTTTAATCTACTGCTCCATTATTTAGCTAAACCTTATTTCATTCTTGCCCAACATTCACACGTGCATTTTTCAAGAGGGCTAACATAATTGTACGGTGAGGATGATTGTAATAGTGTTTCCCAGTACTGCAGTATGTGGCAGAGATTAGGGCATTTTAACTTTTCTTTTCCTGTATTCATTAACGGGTTGAGGGTGTCACTGGTTATGCAGCATTCATTGCCCATCCCTAATTGCCCAGAGGGCATTTCAGAGTCAACCACATTGCTGTGGGTCTGAAGTCGCATGTAGGCCAGACCAGTTAAGGATGGCAGTTTCCTTCCCAAGGGTGGATTCATGGTGATCATTTGATTCTTAATTCCAGATATTTTTATTGAGTTCCAATTCCGTCATCTGCTGTGGTGGGATTTGAACCTGGGCCACCGGAACGTTATCTGGATCTCTGGATTAACAGTCCAGCAATAATACCACTAGGCCATCGCTTCCCCCACTTTCCACGCTTTCCACGGAGAAAGTACTCAACATTTGTGTGGGCAGCTTGTATTAAATGGTTAAATCAATTAATCAATGGAAATTTAAATATTTTACAATTATCAGATCATGCCTTGCTTATTTTGAGGAAGTCCCAGTTAATATTGAAAGGTGAAGGTGGTGTTGTGGTTAATCTCCTACACCAACCACAGGAGGCAATAGGTATCAGGTTAATTTATTCAAACAACCTCAGCCTTAGGTGTCTAAACAGAACTCTCTCTGATACATTCAGAAAACCATCAATATTAATGCCCCTGCGATTATGTACGCATGCATTGTTTACGTTTCATTCTTATGCAATAAACAGAAATCTTCCGTCCTAGGTCTTTCTCTTATCCATAGGAGTTTGGGTCTAGTCTGTTCCCAAGACTTACAGGCCCTTAGGCTGTACAAAGTTCCTCTCTGGTCATTTCTGCTGACATGGATCTTTAGGGTCTTTGAGGTTCATATGTGCTGAAATATGCAGCTAGTGGGGGAAAAAAAAAGTGAAGTTACCATAGTCCCAGAGGACCACAGGGCTGGAGAGACAACAGGTGGTGAATTTAACCTGAGGGGCACCTCATGTGAGGTTGAGAAGGCAGGACCTCGTGGTAACTTCAGATGGTACAAGAATGGAACTCGCCCTGTTGGCATCAAATCAGCCATCCAGCCAACTGAGCTATTTGGTAAGATGTTGTAATAATCCTACTGTAACTCCTTTTTTATGAAATCTTATTTAATTCCTGCAAAAGTGGCCAATAGTCAGCTTCTAGGTTGTATCTGATAAATTTAAGATTGGTTTTTCTTCCCAATCTTGTAATTCCTAATGAACTTACTGGTGCTTTATGTCTTAAGGAAAAGTAATAATCACAGGCAGCATTAAACAGACAGATGTTGAAATAATTTTTTTGTTTCATCAGTTAACTCTTTGCCAGGCATTGACTGATGGTGAGGTACAAGTTTGAAGGCAATGCTTTCAGATGGAGATTCTTTTTACATACAAGCTCTGTATGCGACCTGTGGATGATTTAATTGGACATAACTTCACAGCTGAATGTCTTTCTGTCCAACAAGGTCTGATTTTACTTTTCTGACAGGTGTTACAGACGAGCAGTTCAGTAACTCAGCCAGTTTACTTCCCTTTCCTAATGTACGGAGTTAAGACTAAAGTTTTAGCAATCATGCCCAGGACCGGTTACATCAGCTCAGTCCAGAGATTGAGCAAGGCACAGGTGGACTGGTATTAGGGCCTCAGTTATTCACATTATTTATTAATGACTTAGATAATGAAATTGAAAATCATGTGTCCAAGTTGCTAATGGCACAAACTTAGGTGGCATTGTAGGCAGTGTAGATGATAGCATAAAATTACAAAGGGATATTGATAGTTTAGGTGAATGGGTAAAACTGTGCAAGATGGAATTCAGTGTAAGCCACTGTGAGGTTATCCATTTTGGACCAAGGAAAAGATAGATATAATAGGTGATATGTAATCTTTAAAATGCGGACAAGTGCAGAAAGTAATCCAGAAGGTGAATGAAATGCTGTTTTTTATACCTAATTTGTACTGCAGTTATACAAAACCCTGGTTAGATCCCATTTGGAGTACAGTGAGTAGATCAGGGCACCACACCTGAGGAAGCATATATTAGCCTTGGAGGGAGCACAACATAGGTTTATAGGAATGATACCTGAACTTTGGGGCTGTGGTATGCAGAGAGATTAGACAAATTAGGCAGATTTTCACTATTGTTTCGAAGGTTAAGGGGTGATCAGATCGAAATCTTCAAGATACTAACAGGAAAAGACGTAGATAAAGCTAAACTATTTCCACTGGTAGGAGATTTTAGAACAAGGGAGCATAGCCTAAAAATTAGGACCAGAGCGTTCAGGAGAGATGTTAGGAAACACTTACACACACAAAAGACGGTAAAGGTTTGGAATTCTCTTCCACAAAGAGCAGTTGATGCTAGATCAATTGTTAATTTTAAATTTAAAGTTTAATACATTTTTGTTAAACAAAAGTATTAAAGGATATGGGCCAAAGGCAGTTATATGGAGTTAGGCCACAGATCAGCCATGATCTCATTGAGCGGCAGAACAGCCTCAAGGGTCTGAATGGCCTAATCCTGTTCCTATGTTTGTATAACATTTAACCTCTGTAAGACATAATTCTTTTTAAGGGCTGTATTGCTTAAAATAGATGTTTCAGTTGCACTTCCTGAGGGATGAAATGTTAGTTGTAACCCTGTTGTTATGGTGTTTCATTTGGTAGGTGATGATATTCGTCTTGGCTGATCATGTGCAGGCATTTCTCAGTGAAAACAACATTCCTCCCTCTAAATCCTTCTATGAGGAAATGCTGAAGAACCAACAGGAGCAAGAGCGACGACTTGCACAGGAGGAACAACGCAGGATAGAACAGAAAAAGAAGCAAGATGAAAAAATGGTATATGTTGCACGATCCTTTTTGTGATCTTTTTCGCTTTTTAGTATTTTTCCATTACTGTAATCATTGCGCATCACTTGCTATTGTAGATACTTTTTAAATCAACCTGTTCAGAGATGTCACAGCACAGAAACAGATCCTTCGGTCCAACTACTCCATGCTGATCATGCTCCTAAACTAAAATAGTCCCACCTGCCTGTGTTTGGCCTATATCCCTCTAAACCTTTTCTATTCATGTACTTGCCCAAGTGTCTTTTAAATATCGTAACTGTACCTACATCCACCATTTCCTGTGGTAGCTCACACGAACTATGTAACAAACAAAAATTGCCCCTCGTCCTTTTTAAAACTTTCTCCTCTCACCTTAAAAATATGTCCCCTAGTTTTGAACTCCCCCACCCTAGGGAAAAGACCCTTGCTATTCATCTTATCTCTGCCCCTCATGATTTCATAAACTTCTGTAAGATCAACCCTCAAACTCCTATGCTCCAGTGAAAATAGTCCTAGCCTAGGGGTGGAGAAACTTTTTACTTTGGAAGGCCACATTTTATTTAACCGAGCTCCTATTAAACCACATGCTGAGAATTTAACTTGTACAACAAAATGTCATATTTTCGTCAACATATTTAATAATTTTAATTAAAGCCTTCTATTAGATGAGGACTTTAAACAAAAATTCAGCGAAGACATTTATTTATTTGGCAAAGTTGACAATAGAACTAATAATAAGTAAAAAAAAAAACTTATTTAATGATTTTTTCGTGATTGCTTATTGCGAGATAGGAATCAGATATTTGGTTCCAACATTGTTGACTGTAGCTTTAATTGGTCCCTCAGGTGAATATCCATCATCTGTTTTAATTTGTGTCACATATGAAAATGTTGATTCACAACAGTAGGTTGTGCCAAAACAAGACCGCATTCAATGATCATGTTGACATAGACGTGGGTATTCAAAGGCATTTTTCCATATTTCAATGGGATCCTTCTTAGTGTCAAATAGAGACTTCAGAATATTATCTTCTGAGAGCTCAATCAATTCCATCTGTAAGTCATCAGGTGATTTGGAAACATCAACCAGGTGTGGTTGAAAAGCTAGTTTCAGTGTGAGATCACGTGTCTCAAAATCTGCAAATCTTTCACTGTGTTCTTCAATCAGGGAGTCTAGAACAACTGTGCATTTTTTCATGTCACATTTACTTAATGATTTGCTTGTATCCTGTTCATTAATTATCTTTGCCAGTTCAGGAAAATGTTCAGTTGAACATTCCAATTGGGTAAGGGGTGTTTTGAAAAAGGTCAGCTTTTTCTGGAATGCCTGGATTTTTAGCCACATAGATATCGATTTAGGTTTACCTTGCAAAAAAAAATTCGGATCATTTTGCTTTGACATTATATTACATAAAAATGCAGCATTTCTGCAGAAATCTTCTTTTGAGAATTCACATGGCTCGTTCAGTTCCTCAAAAAATCTCGATTTGTTTTTGCAAAGAAAGAAGTTTACAAGTATTTGTCCTTGTGACAACCAGCGCACTTTAAAATGATAGATGTGCAGATCCACGCTGAATGTTTCATTATCAAGCTGAAGCATGTTGCGAAATTGGCCAAGCCGTGATGCATTTGCTTGAATGTAGTTTACAATACCTATAACTTTATTTAATGTGTCACTTAAAATAGTAGATTTGGCACAGAGATTCTGTTGATGCAAAAGATAATGAAAGGAAATCAAAGTATCCGGATCTGGCAATTCTTTTTGTAGTAATGCAACAAATCTTTCCTCTCATGGAAGGTGCACTGTCTGTGCATACACTTACTAAATTACATAAATTCAGTTTCGCTTCAAGGCATTTTTCTTTGATGAAACTAAAGATGCCAATTCCACGAGTCATTGCCGTAAGGGTACCCAAAGCCAGTAACTCCTTGTGGCAATGAAAATCTGCAGTTATAACACGAGTAAAAAAAATAACACCTGCGTTGAGTCAGGAATATCACTGGATTCATCCAAGGCAATAGAATAATAAATGTCTTCGCTTTGGCATATTGTATGAAGTTGTTCTGTTCCGTTGAGGGCTAATTCGTAGATCATAGAATCCCTCCAGTGTGGAAACAGGCCCTTTGGCCCAACAAGTCCACACCGACAGACAGAGCATCCTGCCCAGACCCATTCCCCTAATCTACACACCCCTGAACACTATGGGCAATTTAGCATAGCCGATCCACCTAGCTTGCACATCTTTGGATTGTGGGAGGAAACCGGAGCACCCGGAGGAAACTCACACAGACACAGGGAGAATGTGCAAACTCCACACAGTCAGTCGCTCGAGGGTGGAATTGAACCCAGGTCCCTGGTGCTGTGAGGCTGCAGTGCTAACCACTGAGCCACTGTGCCACCCTGTCATGTTGCCGATCATTTATGGTCCCTTCTTGAAAGAGGTAGTTGTTTGTACTTATTTATCTGAATCTGAACTTCCTACAACTTCAACAATACATTCTTTTATGATTTCCACATCGCTAAATTACTTATCTCTTCTTCCAAGCTACTTTATAAGTTACTTCAGTGATGTCAGTTCCTTGACCTGACATCATTTTAAATACTTGCAGGACTCGAGCCTCAGTCTTCTGGCTCAAAGGTAGGATCACCACCACTGCACCACAAGAGACCCACTATTTCTATTCTGTGTCTTGGCTAATAAAGGAAAGTATTCCATGTATCCACTTACCCACCTTATTGACCTGTCCTCCCACCTTCAGGGATCTGACGACAGCTCTCTGAGGTTCTTGCCCTTCTGTTACATCATTTAATATCCTTCTATTTATTGTGTACACCTTGGCCATGTCTTCCCTCCCTAAATGCATCACCTTGCACTTCTGAAGGTTGATTTACATTTAATACTTTGGTGTTTCTAACCCACCCGACCAGTTCAGGAGAAAGCTGTCACTTGATTGTCACTCCTTTCACCACTGATACACAATGTCCACACAAGCCACAAGATGCACTGAAGTAATTCACCAAGGCTCGTTCAAGCCTGCAAACTCTACTATCCTGAAGGACAAAGGCAGCAGGTGCCAGGGAGAACCACCACCTGCAAGTTTGCCTCCAAGCCACATACCATCCTGACTTGGAAATATATCTCTGTTCCTTCACTGTCACTAGACTAAAACTCCTAACAGCACTGTGGGTTAATAAACACCCGATAGACTACACTGTTTCACTGGGTTATATCCAACAGATTTATTTGAAATCACAAGCTTTCGGAGTCCTGCTCCTTCATCAGGTGAAGTGAAGGGAAACACGCAGATGCAGAATTTATAGCTGGAGAGATAAAAATGTAGTAGAAATGGTGTGAGTGGAATGTCAATAGGCTGAATAATTTCAGATCGTAACTGCTCCCATTGTTTTTATAAAAACGTTAGTTGCTAGTAATGATTTTCCTTTTGTCATTTTAGGCTCTTCCAGATCTATCTTTTGTTCATTTTATTGTTCCACGGCGGCCCTCTTGTACCTTATGCCAACAACCCATTTGTCATTTAATCAGTCCTTTGTATTTGATGAGAGAAGCTTCAGAATACTCAGGGAATGTGATCAGCTTTACTAACTAGTAAAATCATCTCAGAATAGAATACTGAGGGGTGACCTTACAGACATGTATAAAATCATGAGGGGCATGGATAGGGTAAATAGGCAAGGACTTTTTCCCAAGATAGTGTAGGGAAAGCTCAAAAATAGAGGGCATATGTTTAAGGTGAGAGGGGAAAGGTATAAAAAGGACCTAAGGGGAGACTTATTCACGCAGAGGGTGGTGCATGTTTGGAATGAACTGCCAGAGGAAGTGGTGGAGGCTGGTACAATTGCAACATTTTAAGGGCATCTGGATGAGTGCATGAATAGGAAGGGATTTAGGATATCTGGTCAGCATGGACAAGTTGGGCCGAAGGGCCTGTTTCCATGCTGTACAACTGCCTGACTCCATATCAACATTAAAGTCTTGAATCGATGCATTAATGACATTTTTATGGGTGTGTTGAATGCTCTCTGTCTCACCAAAAAATGTTCAAAAATGATGCCTAAAACTGAGGGTGGTTGGTTGTCATGATAAAATACTTACTTTGATTTAAGTCTCTGTAAACATTTTATAACTAAAGCCTTAAATTGACTTCTCAAGAAGAAACGCTGGTGTGAGTACCTCAGTACTTTTTCACGTAGTTACAATATGTTGTGTGTAAAAATTGATAGGCTGAAAGTACTTATTTGTGATCTATAATTTCTTCATTTGTTTCAGTCACTAATTGAAAAAACATTTCTGCACAATAGAATTTCTGAATGATTTTAATTTTAAACATTTAAGCTCACCTTTATTGTTTTGATCAGTTGAATATCTGAAGCTATGAGTCCTCAGATCAATTTTGATTATACAGTATTTCCATTTGCTTGCCTAGTGAGTTGATAATCGCTTTCTGCAGTGATTCACCTTAAGTCAGTAAGATTTAAGTTCCCAGGTGTGCAGAGTGGTATTGCTAAAGTTTAGTCATCTAAAACTGAATAGTTTACCGGCAAAGAGTGTTGATGAGCTTCCCAATCCTTGACACCAGGATCACACTCATTAGCTTGGAGTTATCTGTAATAACTTGTCCTGTACAGTGGAACTATGAAATTGTATAGCATAGAATAAGGCTACTTGATCTGTCGTGTCTGTGCCGGCTTTCTGAAAGAGCTACTGATTTGTGCCACTTCCTAGATGTTTACTCTGAAGTGATTTTCATTTTAAGCAGAAATGCAGTTCCTTTTTGAAAGTTACTGTTGAACCTGCTTTGGCCAACTTTTCAGAGAGTACATTCCAGATTATTATAGCTTTCTAACCAAGGAAAGAGAGCTCCTCATTCCTCTCATGCCTTCCCTCTGGCTTTTTTTGACAAATATTTTAAACTTCTGTTTCCTGGTTTTGAACTTGTCAGTGGAAATTCTTTCTATTTATTAGCTCCATAAAAATACTTCATAATTTTTGAACACCTATGTTAATTCTCCTAAACTTTGCTATTGCAATGAGGACAATCGCAGCTTCTCCAGTCTCACCAGATAACTGAGAAACTGCATCCTGCATTCGAGTAAACCTTCTCCTCACACTATCTTGATATAGTTCGATAAGTGTGGTACCAAAGATTGAACAAAATACTTATCTAAGGTCTAACCACCAATTTATGAAGATTCAATGTAACTTTCTTTTGTATTCCAAGCTTTATGTATAGATTTAACAGTTTTAAAACAATATTGTACAGTTCTGATAAAAGGTCACTTGAAATGTTAACTTTGCTTCCATTTTCACAGATACTGCCTGACCTGGGTGTTTCCAACATGTTCTGATCACGTTTTAACCTTCCTGTTTAATCTGTGCCAGATGTGTGATTTTGTTTTAAGAAATTAAGACTAAAATAATAAGATTGTTAAACTCTTTTTTTTTTTGAAGCAACGTGAAATCCTTGAAGAAATTCAAAGATTAGAAGAGGAAAAGAGGGATGCAAAGAAACTAACTCAGTTGGCCAAACAGGTATGTGGGTGTACACCGTTTCAGGATTCCAGCTCCTGAGGGGTGGTTGCTAAATTTTTCAGTTCAACGACTGCAGGTTCAGTCAATGGTAAATAATCTAGATTGCAATGATATAAATGCAGGAGTGCAGATAATTGTTGCTTTGGTAGGTAGGCTAGCAATGTCAAATAAACACATGGATATAACATTACCATCAAAGTGCAAGTCCTGTGTGGTCTTTGTGAAGGTGAAGGATCCTTCACCATCTGTGTAGATAACCTGCTCAGTACTTGTTATAGCAACTCGCCTGACCATTTGGCCACTGGATGTTGTGCAGAGCTAGTCACTGATAAGGTGGGGTGTAAAGTGACATTATCTTTATGTAGCCTGAGAAGCCAATAAATGTTCTGTATTCATGGAATCGCAAGTTGAGAATTTGCTTATCCGCCGAAAAATAAGTTACAACAAAAATCACCATCCGCATATCTGCAATTTTTAAACTTATTTTTAACCTATTTGTAAATAAGCTCCACAGTCACGAATTTCATCATTCGCGGAGGTTCTCAGAAACAGAACCCTCGTGGTACAGAGAAATGTCTGTGCGTATATATGGGTGCAGTGAATCATGAGGACTAATCATATCATGCACACCTCCAAGCATTTTATTAGAAACATAGAAAATGCAAAGTAGTAAAACGGAAAATAGTAGGTCCCATCAAACCTGCTCCACTATTCAATATGATCATGGGTGATCCTCTGTCTGAATACCATTCCTGCTGTCTACTCATACCCTTTGATATCTTTAATTCCTAGAAATCTGTCTGTTTTATTTATAAATATATTCAGTGACTTGGCCTCCACTGACATGTGTGGAAGAGAACAGTAAAGAAATGTCTTCTCATTTTAGTCCAAAATGGTTTACTTTGCATCCTAAAACCATGATCTCTTGTTCTAGACTGCCCTCCCCTGTGCCCGAACGTCTGTCTTTGTTAGAATTTCATATGAGATCTCCTTTCATTCTTCTGAATTCCAGTGAATACATCTGTCCTTCTACAACAAACCTGCCAACCTAAGTCTCAGCCTGGTGAACATTTGCTGCGCTCCCTCAATAGCAAGTGTATCCTTTCTCAGGTAAGGATACCAGAGCTGCACATAGTACTCCAGTTGTGGTCTCACCAATGCCTTGTACAGCTGCAGCAAGACAACTTTGCTCTGTATTGAAATCCCCTTGCAATGAAGACCAATATTCCATTTGTCTTTCAAACTATTTGCTATTTGTGCATACTTGTTTTCAGTGATTGGTATACAAGAACTCCCAAGTTCCTTTGCACATCAACAGTACCATATCTTCCACCATTTTAACAGTACCCTGCTATTCTGCTTTTCCTACACAGGAGTGGATACTTATCCATGTTATGCTGCAGCTGCCATGTATTTGTCCTCTTGTCAACTTGCCAAAATCATCTTAAAGCCTCTTTACCTCTTCCTTACCACTCGCAATTCCTCTTTGTTCTGTCTCATCAGCAAACCTGGAAATATTGCATTTGATTCCCTTATTCAGATTGTTGATATGTATTGTGAATAGCTGGGGCTCAAACACTGAACTCTGTGATACCAAGCTAGCCACCACTTTCTATTCTTAAAAAGACCCATTTATTCCGACTCTCCGTTTCCTGTCTATTAATCACTTCTCAATCCAAGCTGGTATATTACCCCATGTCCATGTGCTTTAACACTCTAATTAATGTGGGTCTTTATCAATGTTTGCTGAAAATCCGAATCCTCTGGTTAACCGTTTACAAGTAACGTGCTCAAAACACTTCAGTACGCTTGTCAAGCAGATTTCCCTTGCATAGATTTATGTTGACACCTGTCTAACCCCCTTTGATATTTTCTAAGTGACCTGTTATCACATCCTTTATGCTAGAGTCGAGCATTTTCCCAACTACTAATGTATGCTAACTAGTCTGTAATTCTTTGTTTTCTGTCTCCCTCCTTTTTTAACATTTGCCACTCTCCATTCTGCTGGTACTGTTCCAGAATCTACAGAAATTTGGAAGGTGACAGCCAAAGCATTCATTACGTCCATGAGCACCCCCTTTATTACCTTACGATGTAGGTTATGAAGTCCTGGGTATTTGTCACCTTTCAGTTCTGTTATTTTCTCCACTTTTTAATTATAAATATTAATAGTTTTCAATTTGTCCTTCCCAATAGACTCTTGTTTCTCTAGTGTTTGTTGGAAGTTATTTGCGTGTTCTTTGAATCTGAACCTGAAGTAGTTGTTTCATTGCTGTGCCTTTCCATGTTCTCCGTGATCAATTTTCTCATATCTCCCATGTAAGGGACCTACATTTGTCTTCACTTTGTACGTATTACTATTGCCATTCATATATTACTCTCATATTCTTGTTTCTCCCCTCTGTTGCTTCTCCTTTGCTGAATTCTAAACTGATCCCAACCCTTAGCTTTGCTACTTTTCGTAGCAACTTTATATGACTCCTCGTTGGTTCTGATGCTTGATTTCTTTTATAAACCATGGTTGGGCCGCTTTTCCTGTTGTATTTTTGCACCAGAAAGAAATGTACAACTGTTGCCAGCATGCATTGTTTCTTAAATATTTGCCATTGCCTAATCTATTGTCAGACCTCTTAAAGAAGTTACCCAATATATTATAGCCAACTCCTGCCTCATACCTCTGTAGCTTCTTTTATTTAGATTTAGACCCGAACTTCAGATTGGACCAGTTCATTTTATATCCAAGTGGAAAATTTTATCATGTTATGTTCACTTCCCTGAAGGACTTTGCACAATGAAACTGTTAGCTAATCCTATCTATTATACAGTACCAAACACAAGTTTGCTCATATGCAATCTAGGAGTTCATCCATCACTATATTATTGTGCATGTAGTTCATCCAGTCTATATGTAGATTAAAGTCACCCATGATTCCTGTAACACCTTTGTTGCATGCATCTCTCATTCCCACCTTACCACTATTGTTTGGAGGCCTGTTGGCAACATACACTAATGTTTTCCATGCTGCTTCTCAGAATCTATCAATATATACTGATTCTGCATTTAGACAATGCCCAGACAATATCCTTCCTCATATTACAATAATATCATCCTTTGCTAATAACGCAATCTGCCTCTCTTTCCATTTTTTCTGTCCTTTCTAACTATTGAATACCCTTAGATATTCAGTTCCTAGGCCTGGTCACCCAACAGAAATTTCTCCATAATTATAACCATTTCATGCCTGTTCGCAACTAGTTGAGCTGTTCTTTGTTTCAGTACAATGTGTTGTTTCACTGGTGTGCTTGGTCAATGCCTTTGTCCCCCCTGACACAGTGTGGTTGGCCACCTCCCCCTGCAGCAACAGGCACATGGTAATCTGGATCTCCTGGAAGCTGATTGTTGTAGTGGGCCAGATGGGAAACCTCCCTTGTGATGTGCTTGAAATATGATTGCTGAGCGAGTTCCTGGTGCTCATGACCTTGGAGGAGATGCCGGTGTCGGGGTGGATCTGCGTCATCACTTTGTAGATGTTGACGGAGTAACTTTCTTTCCTGGACTTTCTCCTCTTCCTACTGCTGCTCACTGGAGCCCTGTTCACTGCTTTCTTCACGTCCTTCTTGGTAACTTTGTTCTTTCTTTTCCTCAACCATGGTCACAGCCAGCTGCGCTGTTAATCTATACATCTTATTATGAATGCTCCATGCATTCAAATGCAGTACATTTAGATTTGTCATTTAGACCTGTTTTACTTTCTACTTCCATATTTATAATTTCTAACTTTGTTTCCCTTTTATGTGTCTCCCTGCTGAAGTTCTCAACCCCCTTTGCTCTAATTTAAACTTCGCTCCCAGTACTAGAAAGTATCCCTATGAGAATATTTGCCCTGGTTCTGCTGGGGTGCAACTTGTTCAGTTTGTACAGTTTCCATCTTTCTCAGAATTATTCCCAATGCACCAGTAACCCAAATCCCTCCCTCCTTCACCATCTGTCCTAGCACGCATTCACTTGGTCTGTTCTTCTATTCCTGATCTGGCCCTGGGAAAAGTCCTGAGATTACTGTCTTTGGGGTCCTCCTCCTTAATTTATTTCATGGCTCCCTATATTCACCTTGCAGGCTCTCATCCCTGTTGTTTGCTCTGACATGGACCAACAAAATACCTCTTCCCATTGGTTGTGTCTACACTAAAATTGAAGCTTTGTGCGAGAACAAACTCCTCGCTTTCAGATGGTACATTATAGGAGAGATTTAATATGTGTTCGGCATCATCATAAATTGTGGTGATTGGCCAGTTTGGATTTGCCCTCCTTTTTGGACAAACTGGGCAATTTTTCACTTTGTCAGGATAGTTCAGTTCTACTTTACGACTACCTTTGGGATGTTATCAGGGCCTGGAGTCTTTTCTGTGTCCAGTGCAGTCAGTTGTTTCTTGATATCGCAAGGGCTAAATCAAATTGTTTGAAGACTACCATATATGATCCTGGGGACCTCCGGAGGAGGATGAGGTAGATCATCCACTAAGATCTTCGGGCTGAAGATTGTTGTAAACGTTTCGGTCTTGTTTGTAACGTTTGAGATACTGGGCTGTACCGTTATTGAGGTTAGAAGTGTTCATTGATCCTTATCCTCCATTTGTTGTGTTATTGTCCACCACTGTGGTAAGGCTGTAGAACAAATGATATGATCTGTACCTTGTGGAATTATTTATTTCTTCTAGGACACACTGCTTTTTTGCTTAACTTGTTTCAAATCTTGTGTTGTAGCTTTACCAGGTTTGTATCTTATTTTCAAATATGCCTGTTGTTGCTCCTGGCATGCTTTCTTACACTTCTCAGGATTATGTTGAAACAGGATTGATCCCTTAGTTTATCAGTGACGCTAGTATGAGGAATATGCTGGATCACGAGGTTACAAGTTTTGCTGTGGATGAAGGCCTATATCCAAGGGTGCCAAGTTTGGTTTTGACAGATCTGTTCTGAATCTACTTCATTTGGCACAGTTTAGTGAGATGGAGACGATCCTCAAGGTGCACAAGAACTGCACAGTGGGCACTCCTAGACCTCCAGATTCTATGATCCTGGATGCACTACCTGAAAGCTGAGTGAAAGCAGATTCAATAGCTGTATTCAAGAGGGAATTGGATAAACACTTGAAAAGGACTATAAGGTGTGAGCAGGGAAGTGCTCTTTCAAAGAGCTGGCACATGCGTGATGAGCATGAAGAAGATCATTTGGATTGGCAAGTGCAAAATATTTATAATCTGCTCTCCCCTAAGTTTTTGAGAAACAGGCTCTTGACTCTAGGCTTGTAACATCATTGATTTTTGTAGAAATCTAAAACGAACATGCAAATTAGGAGCAGAGTAGGCTGTTCAGCCCCTGAAACCACTGATCTAATAGTGACTACAACTCCTCTTTCCTATACATTGTATATACTTTGACGGTTTTGTTAGTGTAACTAAGCCTTAACGATATTCAATTGCGTGTAGATTGATAAAAGTTATAGAACAATATTTGTGGAATATGAAGGGATTTGGGAAAGGGAAATGGGCTAGTGTACACAGCAAAATTTAAAGATGCGATCAATAGACCAAATGATGATTGTGGGGCAGGGCATTGCAGCGATGGCTAATTCTTGTCCTTGCTTGATATCCACAACCAAATGCCTCCATCCGGCTTCAGTGGATCCCAGTTGGGCGCTGTTTCCCTCCGTTCCGTAATGATAGGTGCTTGTACGTGACGTGAACGCATGTGTAATTCCCACTTCTACTTTCTTTCTTCACTCCTCCCAGGAGCGGCGGGAAAATGCACAAGTGACCATTCCAGGAAATCCTTCCAAAATTCCTGCTTCGAACAGGCAGTCTCCTGCCAACTTGAATGAAAATGCAGTGGACCAAGTCGACTACAAAAAGGGAGGGAACAACCGACGTCGAACCAATTCCAACGGCCGATCAAAGTATGGATTTCGTAACTGAATTTAGGGAATAGGAGCTTGGGTGCCAAGCACAGATTGGGCCTAATTGAATGAATGCCTGAATAGCTCATCAGTAGCATTTTTGATGTGCCCTTAATTGATATTTAGTGAGATTTTAAAAAATGATGTGTATGGTTTCCTTCTGCACTTGAGAGGATAGAGAAAGTGGGAATATCAAAGTTGACCCTTCAAGAGAGATACTGTTGAGATTGGTATTAAGATAGCTTGTTAGGCTGAAGTGGGGTACCCACTGCCTTGGATACCCTAGGTGCATCCTTGTAATGGAAACAAGACCCACTCATGATATTTGTATTATTTTTATTTTTGCATGCGATAGGAATGCCACTGGCAAGGCCAGAATTTGTTGTCTATTCTGATTGCCCTTGAACTGAGTAAGTTGCTAGGCCATTTCATTAGACATTTAAAAGTCAACCAGATTACAGTGGGTCTGGAGTCAAGTTTAGGCCAGACCACATAAGGATGGCAGATTTCTTTCTCTAAAGGACATTAATAAACCAGGTGGGTTTTTATAACAATCAGCAGTGGTTGGATGATCACCATTAGACTAATTTTTAATTCCAGATTTTTGTAATTGAATTCAAATTTCGCCATGAGCCTCCTGATTGCTAGTTCAGTGACATTACCGCAATGCCACCACGTCCTGAAGTGTGGTACCCAGAATTGTATACCATCCTTCAGCCAAGGCCTAAGTAGTGTCCTTTACAAATTCAGCATAACCTCTTTTCTCCTGTGCAATATGCTCGTATTAATAAAGTCCGGGATATTGTTTTGGGTCATAGAACTATAGAGACCTGCAGCACAGAACTCGCTTCCTCAAAAGATAGTGAGTGCAAAGACTGTCAATATTTTTAAGGCAGTGGTAGATTGATCCTTGGTAAGCAAGGGGATGAAAGGTCATTGGGGTAGGCAAGAATGTGGAGTAATCAGATCGACCACGATCTTAGTAAACAGTGGAGCAGGCCCAAGGGACCAAGTCATAGAGTCATACAACCCTTTGTCCCAACTAGTCCATGCCGACCATGTTCCCAAACTAAACCGATATCACTTGCCTGCATTTGGCCCATGTCCCTCCAAAACTTTCCTATTTATGTACTTAACCAAATGTCCTTTAAATGTTGTAACTGTACATACATCTGCCACTTACTCTGGTAGTTCATTCCACACATGAACCACTTCGTGTGTTTAAAAAAAAGGTTACCCTCATATCCTTTTCAAAACTTTCTCCCCTCACCTTAAAATATGCCCCCTAGTTTTGAACTCTCCCACCCTAGGGAAAAGACCCTGTCTGTCCTGATATTTATACTTTGTAAAATAAACTGATATACTCCTGAAGAAGAGTCATATTGGGCTCGAAATGTTAAGCCTGTTTCTCCCTCCACAGATGTTACCAGACTTGCTGAGTTTCTGTTGCACTTTCTCTTTTTATTTCTGATTTATTTCTCTTGAATTCAAAACGGATGACCTCGTACTTCTCCAAATTTAACTCTATCTGTTACTGTCTCTGCCACTCACTTAATTTATCAATGTAATTTTCTGCTCCCATCTGCAGAATTTACTGTGCTACCTAACTTGCTGTCATTGGGGAGTTGGATATATATATATATATCTCTAGTTCCTCGTCTTGTGCCCCCTTCTACCTCATAAGATGATGGTTTGCACTATGGTATTTTACACTGTTAAACGCCACCCGGTGTGGCTCAGGAGCCCCACTCTAGCATGGCAATCTCTGCCACATTTACTGTAGAGGAAGAGAGTGGGCTGGGAAAGTGTATGACTCACTGGCCTCTTTATTTTTTTCCTCTCTCTGGACCCTCTTCTCAGCCTGCTGAGCTTTTTGTTTCTGGTTGCCTCTTCCAATGCCCCTCCAAACTGTGCTTCCAGCACACCAGACAGGGTCTGCCACCTTAACAGCTCACTTGCAGGTGTTTCTGTGGTGGCGATGTGGCAGTCCAGGATGTTGTGGCCAGTTCACTGTCCAAATCAGCATCCTTCCAGTGCATGTAGCCAAGCCACTTCAGGCATCAGAGGCTTAGCAATGACTGTATCCTGATAGAATCAGCATGCTGTGGGACTTCTGGGTTAGTGGTCTTGTCCTGTCGTGAAATTCCAAAGATACGTCTGAGCCAATGAAACTGTTCATCCTTTTCTTTAGCCTGGCCGATGTTGCTAGGTCTCACTACTGTGGTAGGCCTAAGAACAATCACAATTATGTTTTTGTACAAATAGGTTTTAATTTGGCACCATATGGATTGAATGCAGACCTCGTATTCAGAAATTGGCAACGTTTGCCTGATTTAGTCCTGAAATGCAAGTAGAACTCATGCTAATTTCTCACTCACTCTGCCATAGTAGGCAGCCTAGTCAGATCCATGTTTTAAATTGGGCTTGTTTTTTGATCTGCAGAATTGGTTGATTCAAGTAGCAATGTAGTTCACTTGATAATAAACTTTGTAATGGAAAATATTTTTCAACGTGTAGGCGAGAACGGCAACTTTCTGTATGTAGCAATGACGACGGTGCCCAGCCATGCAAGCTTATACATTTCAACATGGGATCAACTGGAGGGTGCACAGTACACAGGGGAAAGCTTATCGGTGAGGAACAGTTTTAGCTGACTATTGTACTTTTTCAGCGATATTGGAACATTGGTTCTGCTGTTGGGTGTTATGCTGTTAAATTATTGGTGAGTGGAAATTTTCTCATTTGTCATTTGTGACAGGTGAGAACGAGCTGTTGAACCGGTCAGTCTACTATGCCTTGGAAGAATTGACAGGAAATTTTGTGGTAATCTATGAATGGGTTCTTCAGTGGCAGAAAAAAATGGGCAAGTTCCTCACTAGTGAGGAGAAGGACAAAGTCGAAAAATGCAGAAAGCAGGTAATTATGTCTGTTTGAACAGGAAATCTGTGAATTTTGTTTGCATGATTTGGTTAACTGTGAATTACCACTGGATTTTCAGTCTGATGTCTGGTGTGGAAAATGGGTAAATTTATCACCAAGCACTATTCTGAAGTGGTAACTTGAGCAACACTGCCAGGCAGCCAATTTCTGCACTGATGTTGACGCTATTATTGTATGGTATGTGGGTATGCTAGCACAGCTGGCATTTGTTGACCATCCCCAATTGCTCTAGTAGTGATTAGCTATTTCAGAGGGCAGCTAAGAGTCACCCACATTGCTGTGGATCTGACATCGCATGCAGGCCAGACCAGGTAAGGATGGCAGGTTTCCTTCCTCGTAGATTATTCAGAAACCATATGACTGTTTTTTGGTCACAATTGTTACGGAGTTGGCATTAATTTCAGTTTTTTACCATGGTGTGATTTGAACTCCTGTCCCCAGAGCATTAGACTGGGATTCTGGATTACCAGTGTTTCCCATTAACACTACACCACCAGCTCCCTTCAAACTAAAATTCCCCATTTTAAATTCCAGCTTTGGTAGTAATCATATATTGAAATATAATCTTATTTATTTGATCCACTATGGTCATTTCCCTTCAGATGTTTAGCAGATGTTTAGCAGGTCTTTGGCGACAGTAAATATATTTGAGCTTAGCTATGTTGTAGTATTTGCATCGAAGAAAAGCTAATATGGAAAGTTGTGGGTTTGTGTCTATCATTTTTCTTTTGCTGCTGGATGGGTGTGTGCCTCTGATTTTGACCTCATCTGTTCATTCAGCACAGAAAATGGAATATTAGCTTTGTCCTTACCTGCCCATATTGTTTAGGACTGGCTCAGTCTAGGTCAGACTGAGTTCTTGAGGGCCTTGCTCCAAAGGCTTTGAGAAAGAACAGATAGGAAGTTGTGACAATCTAGGTGCTTTCCTGTGATTTCCACAAACTTCACAATTTACCAGTGGTGGGATTTGTACTTGTGATTTCCATGTTACTGTTTCAATACCATAACAACCACATTTCTGCAACACACACATCCCAACCTGGAAGGATGCTCTCAGGAGACGCGACTGAATTTCTGCTTCTATTTTTCTAGATCCAAGGTGCAGAAAGTGAGTTTAACTCTTTGTTGAAACTGAGCCACTCAAACCTGGTGCGTTACATAACAATGTGCTGCAAAGAGCAGGAGAACTCTATTGTGGTCAACCTTCTCGTCGAGTATGTTAATGGCTTCAGCCTCTCGGATGCTCTGAACAAAGGGACCCCCATTGCAGCTGAACGACTCCAGCACTATGCGGCACAGCTCCTGACAGCCCTGGACTACCTCCATAATAACTCTGTGGTGCATAAGGTCCTTAGTGCCTCAAGTGTTCTTGTAGATGGGGAAGGCAATGTGAAGTTGACAGATTACAGCATCTCCAAGCGGCTGGCTGACATTTGTAAAGAGGATGTGTTTGAACAGACTAAAGTACGATTCAGTGAGAATGCTCTGCCTTACAAGAGTGGTAAAAAAGGGGATGTGTGGAGGCTGGGCCTCCTCCTGCTGGCTCTCAGCCAGGGCAGTGTTGTAAAGGAATACCCGATAATTGTGCCGAGCAACCTGCCCAACGACTTTCAGGATTTCCTCAACAAGTAAGTTGCAGCCTGGGACCCTGCTATAACATGGTCCATGGGTTCTGTATCTTGAGATTCTGTTATAGATGAGACCATGTTATTTCCTAGCTGGTGCCTAGTGGTTAGAATTGATTTTGCCACTCCAGGGCTGATATTACATGTGAGAAGCACCAGTTTCCAGCCTCGTGGTCCAAATAAGTAATAAAACAGCCCTGTGTAAAATCGACGAAATAATCAAAAGCTACTTTTAATTTCTGTTTTCATAATGTGGGTATCCCCTTGCACAATGTGGAATGGTTTGTGGTTGTATTTGTAGAATGAAAATTTTGGATTATTACCAGAAATATAAATGAGAGAAGAAATTCATACTTCTGTACTACCTTTCGCTCTTTCAGGTTGTCTTGGTGTACATTACAGTCTCAAATATTTTTAAAATGTAGATTGTGTTAGAGCAAATCATAAAGATCAGTTGCATACAGTTCGGCCTCATAAACAGCAAAACAGTTGAAGATTAATCTACTGTTTTTTCTGAAGAAGGTTTGCTGGACCCAAACATTAACTCAGCCTCTCTCCACTGCCAGATCTGCTGAGTTTTTCCAGCGATTTCTGTTTCTCTTTTTGTTTCAGATTTCTAGCATCTGCAGTTTTTTTTTTCCTGCTTTTGCTGTTGGCTAAGACAGGCAGAGAACTCCTTTTCCATTATCAAGTAGCCATGTGACCTTTTTCAACCACCTATTCAGACAGTCCTCACCGTTTAAAACTTTTTTGCTGTAGGGTGGACTGTTTCTAAGATGTGGTTAATGTTCCCTCGTTTGTGGGAATAAGAGTTTTAGATTTCATCTAAGCAGACATCGCTGGAAAAGCTCAGCAGGTCTGGCAGCATCTGTGGAGAAAAATCAGAGT